TCTTGGACGTTTTTTGACTGTTGTGTGCGCCTTCGGGGGCGGGGCAGCTCAGGCCCCGCCTACTCACTCCTTGTCTGATTGGATGACTTGCTTCCTGATCGACCAACCACAGAGCTCGGACGACACCTTCTTGTTACTGGACACTAACCCCACCCCCTCAGCCTCTGATCCTTGCCCTAGATCTTTCCTGTCAATGTGTGACTTGACATTACCTCTTAATCTTTTGCTTTTAAGCACGCAAAATGTTTTAATTTTTTTTCCTTCAATGTGAGAAATAAAAAGTAAAAATGTATTATAAAAAGTATATATATTTATCAGGTGGCAGAAAAGGAGGAACGAGAAGATTGTCCAAAGCAGCGGCAATCGAGAGACGCCTTTAACCCTTTCCTGGCCAAACAGCAAGCCCCCAGCCTAATGCGTGGCATAAGTTTAGTTTTAAACTAAATTTTATTTTTTTGTGTGAACCACAAAAAACTGCAAGGTGTGTGAAATGTGGCAGTTCTGCTGGTTTCAGTAAAATGTGTGAATTCATGCGTGTTTAACATAGAGTATTTTCAGACTTAGGACCACGCGATCGTAGGTGTTCTGCTCTCCAGTGGGGGCCCCCGGCTGGTGACTGACAATCCAGGCCAACAGCAGAGACTGCGAATGGACAGGAGGGCCGAGATGCCGTCCAATTCTGCTTAAGTGTTTTGAGTTTTTTTATGTATGTTCACCCGGACGGGAATCACAGGAAAGGGTTAAAGAAATGATTTGTTACTACTCAGGAAAACCCTTTTTGACATTTGTTTTTCCCCCAACCCAAAATTTTGTCTGAGAACAACATAAAAACCTTCTAGGTCCCCCCCCCCCCCACTCTTCTTAATTCCATGGTGGTGTTTTTATAAAATGGCCCCAATCCCACTTTTGGTGTTGAAACTTTTATGGAGTCTGTTAGATTTGTATTTCCTAGATAAATGTCCCTATAACCATAAACCTGTGTGACCTGGCCCCCGCTTTCCCGTTCCTAACGAAGGCCGTTCCGAGCTCCTGTGGAGGGGCGGGGGGTGTCAACTCTGTGAGCAATAGCAGAATCCTAATAGTGTCCCATCAATAGCAGGCGAAGGAGGAGTACGTTTCGTTTTTAGTGTGAGTATTTGTATTTGTTTCTTGTACAAGGTGAACACTTAGCATTCAGTGCAGTTCCAATAAAAAATACAGTTCTGAGATCCTATCCAGTTTGTCTCCGTTGTTTTTACATTCGCACACAAGGGGGCGCTCTGACACAACACATTGAACTTCCAGTTTGACTGAACGGTGAGACCGTACTTTGAATGTGGGCTCTGAAGGTTGTTTTATTCAAAAATACCTACATTTTAATTGTGAAAAATTTTAATTCAAATTGATTTGGGAACACAGCGGTTTACTCTCTTCCTACTCTTGCTTAACGTGAAGGGATTATTGGGTGCACAACCTTCTGTTCTTGTCAAATTTCGTTGTCAATTCTTTATGCCGAAGGCAATTCGCCAAATTTGGCACAGGTGTTCTGTAAAGTATTCACGAATCACTTTTAAACTGGGCAGGCAGGGAGGAGCGGGGTTATTGGCTACAGAAAGTTCCAAGTTTGAAACTGCCCCCTCAATTATTGGTTGATTCCGTATTAAAGACACTGAACAGGGACCACCTACAGTTCATGTACCTCAATAAGTAGAGCACTGTGCTTACAATGGAGAGGTTGTGAGTTCAAATCCCAGGGTCCACGTAAATTGTAACCATTCCCTCCACTGTAAGTTGCTTTGCATAAAAGCATCAGATTAAAAAGTGAAGTATATATTTACCTTCACAGTGGTCGAGTCCACCGATAGGTAGAAGCGTGGCATGTTAAAGGAATTATATTCCCCTGGAAATGTTACTGCTGACAGGAGGCAGGATGGTTAGCACAGCTGCTTTGTGCCTCTGGGAGTGCTGTTCGAATCTCCGCCATGGCTCCGCATGTGGAGTTTGCATGTTCTTCCCAAGCTGTCGGGGGATACTCTGCCCCCCCCCCCCAGTCCAAAAGTATGCTGAGATTAATATGAGTTACCAAATTGTTTGTAGGCACGCGTGTGTGTGTGTGAGCGCCATCATGCCCCAGTTGGTGTGCTTGTGTGAGTGACTGTGTCCTGTGATGAGTTGCCCCCCCCCATCCTGGGTTGTTCCCTGCCTTGTGCCTATAGCAGAAACAACCCAGAATAGGACAAGTAGTTACCTTAAATGGATGTCACCGCTGAAAAAACGTAAAGCTTGGATTTAAAAGAGGCAAGGACTTCAGTGTCAGTGTATAGCAGTTTTAATATTTTAATGTTAATTTAAAAATAACACTTTAAAATGTCTTTATACTTACCTTAATTTAATCCTGCACACCCCAAACACTAGTGTGCACTGAGTCTAGTGAATGTTGTTACTTAAGTGTCAAACCTTTCACTTCTCAAGAATTATACCTATTTCATAAATACGAAGCCACGTACAAGCAGTGCCCAAAACTCCACCAAATAGCCGTCACTAATGGAAATAAAAAATTAAAGTAAAAGATCCACTCAACGCATCTGTATCGTGATTTGCGATGGCTCTGCCTACTCTTACTTTGGTTTAAAATGCTCTTTGTATTAAACAATATCGAACCAAACTCAGAAGTCCTGCAAATATGAAAATGTAATTATTATTTTTTTGGAGGGGGGGGGGGGCTGGTGGGGGCAGGGCACACGCACACACACGCACACAACAGCCAATAGTAAACCGCTTATAAAGGTTTTGTGTACAAATAGGCNTTAAGGGCTGCTGACTGCACATACCGCTTTGCAACATCGTTCACGGCTCCCCAAGCTCGATTTCTCAGCAAGGTTAAAGAAAGCAGCTCAGAAGGTGCCAGCTAATTTTAAAATGGGCGCCATCCGCAAGGGCACGATTCGCCAGGGTACCGAATTACCCTGGGAAGTTGGGTCTGAGCCCGCGGCAAGGTCCGGGCGCCCTTTAACGGGTACTGCGCGACAGCCAGAGGACAGACCTTCAGCAGACCATGACAGCACAGAAGCTATTTACTCTTGGAGAACAACGGCGAGTTAAACACTAACACAGGAGCCTCGTAAACAAAACTCCAAAGGCCACTGACGCAACATGCAACAGCTCTGCAAAGAAAAATGATCCAGCTTTAGCTGTCTGACAGACACTGACATTTAATGGCCGCAAACCTACATACATAAAAAGATACAACCAATAGGAGAACCCCAAACACTGGGGTGGTTTGCCGTTTTTTTTTTTTGCACTGGGAAAGCCAGAACACTCTCTGAACCAGCATTGTGAAATGGTCTCACCCACACCACACAACACAGTAATGCCAAAGCATTTTATTACAGGCCTGCCTCGATTCAGCCAGACGTCCCAGCTTCCATTTCAAAGTTTACAGGATTAATATCTGCCTTAACTACAGCCGATGACTCATGTAATCAAGAAATGCCTCCAATGCTATCAGGCATTTTTTATAGAACCTATATATCCTGTGCTGTCTAGCAGATTAACTGGATGTCGCTTAATCCATTACTTCTGGATACGATCCAGAAGAAGGATACTCCAGTGTGCCATTAATCCAGCATCATTTACAGTCACGATGGATGGCAAGGGAGAGCTCATCCAACCTCATGGAGCCATAAAAGTTTATAATAAATAAAAAAAAAAGGGGGGAGAATTGAGCAAAATGATCACACACACCCATGACTTCCTCTGGCATGAATTGGGTGCCTAGCCAAGAGCATTTCTAAACCAGATCTCCTGACCTTGAAAGCCTCGTTCTCGGGGAGGGTGCAGTCACACATTCTGCGGGGGTATAGGAGTGATTTCACCAGCAGCGCCATTGTGAAAACCCACTACTTTGGAGTGAAATATAGGTGAAAGGCTACAGCCTTGAATGAGGTGCCTAACCTTTGATAAAGGTTCATGTTTATGCAAACAGAAAGGGGAAAAAGGTCAATACTCACGCTAACGTACAATGACAAGGACACAGACTGCTGCTAAACAAATAAAGCCTATAAAATACAAGCTACAACTAAGGTCCTGGGTCTCGTACTGAAATAATAGGTCTGAACAGCAGGTAGATCGTAAAATGGAATGTCCACACACACACACAGCAGAGGTGAAATATACAGTAAGCAGCATGATCACGGTTAAAAACCTTGGGTTATGGCTGCTTATTTACACCTCATACATTTGCCGTGAGCTATTTTTACTGCAGTATGCTTGGCTCGGTATTGAAGCGACAATGTTTACAAGCCCGTTTGATTTGAGCACCAGCAGCGTCTCTGGACCTTGGCTGCCTTGGGGGGGGGGGGGGGGGGGGGCTGGTGGGGGCAGGGCACACGCACACACACGCACACAACAGCCAATAGTAAACCGCTTATAAAGGTTTTGTGTACAAATAGGCAAATTCAATCCATGGTTCATTTTCGGCAAATTCAGTCATCTAGATGTCAAACATGGAATGGAAATAGCTTGGAGACACCCAGCCCCCCCATTTGGGACACACCCAAGGATCCCCCCCCCCCAGACCAGGACCAAATGAAGGGGGGGGGAGGTAGAACAAGTGGGATTCTACTCTAATGTTAATGCACTGGTTTTGAATGTGGCATTTGACCGCGATCTCCCACCCCCTCCGTGAGCACCTAGGTAACATTCAAATGAGGTACTAAGAAAGAAAGAAAAAAATAATCACACACAGGAAAGGGGGGGGGGGGTAAACACAAACTTTTACAGATTCTCCTCCCCCTCACAGCAACCACATGTGGCTTTTTCTCGCTCACAACCAGATAATTAACGGAAGAGGACCATGAGACACAGACCAAGCAAACGGGAAATGAAGGTTTCTACCCTCTCAAATAAATACTCATTAAGAATACATTAAGGGGGACGGGGGAGGGGGGCGGGCTAAAGATACAACACAATCTCTAAACAAAGACACACTAAGCACTGAAATGAGGAACTCCTTCTCAGCCTCACAGTCTCCAACCAAGCAATTCTGTTTTTAATCCAAATCATTGAACAAACTGTGCAGTCATTTAGTGTTTGCAGTACACAATTTCCTAAAGATACTCTCCAGTTTAAGAGTAAGATTTCATTGGCTTTTCACCCCCTGGACACCCCAGCCAATCACGGGTCTATCCTGGGGCAGCACAGGGTGGGCGGGGGGTGGTCCTCTCGTAAGGAAATCATTTTAAAAATGTGCTTCAAGAAGTGCCCATGATAAACCAATATAAATATTCTTTAGATGCTGGTATTTTCCCTATTACATAACTTCTTAAACAACCACATGCATTACATTTATGGAAAAAGATTTACATACGAGGAGGGACTCCGTAACATCTCGCTGTAAACTCGAATCCTTTATTTGAACCCATAGCAGTTCTGTGATGCAGCAAAGATGAGGCCTGTCAGTCCATCGGTTTCTCCTTTCTTTCCCGTCTCCTTCTGACTTCTGATGTGTGTTTTTTGGGGCGTTTTTCTATTTCTGCAGGAACCACCTCCTTCCAGTTCCAAATCAGCCGCCTCCGCCCCGTCCCGCCCAGCTCGGGCGCCGCGTTCCCCGCCGGCCCGCTCACTCATCCTCGTCGTCCTCCTCCTCCTCGCCGTCGGACAGCGAGGCGCAGGGCCGGATCTGCCGGTACCCGTCGAGCCACTTGTCCACCATCTGCGTGACGAGCGGGTGGTTCCTGCGCCGCGAGCTCTTCTGCAGCGCCACCAGCACGCCGCCTTCCGTCACGCAGCAGTCCAGCCAGTCCCGCAGCAGCTTCTCCTGCTGCTCCTCGTTCCCCATCTATGCGGACGGACACACGTCAGCGCCGGAGACGCAAAACGGCAAGTGACTGGCGACGCCGACAGACCGACTGCAGTAACACTGACCGACCTCTAGGGGGCGGACTCACTAAGACACAGGCACTCAGTAACCTAGCAACCACACAGGCAACCAGAGCCACCGAGTACAATGACAATTCTGAGCAGCTTCTCCACCCAGGACCTTCCCACAATTAGTCACACTCTGAACTTTATACTCAAACTTATTTGCACACCCCACGAACTGTTTATAGCCCACATCTTGTCTTCTTATCCTTATTTACATGCCTACATGTTTGTTTATTTTTTTTCTATTCATATCCGTTTTTTTTTTTCCATATATTGTTTTGTGTATCTGTATATTTCTAACAGTATGTTGACAACTGTATACCCATATACCCTAACCACCAACAAAATTAAGTCCTTGTAATTTTTTTTTACATATGGCAAATAAATGGATTCTGATTCTTAACCAGAGAGAGAACTGCACCAATGGACGGCCTGGATTAGCATGCACGCCATTGGCTGAGACCTCAGTCCACGCCCAAGGCCCGGGAGCCGGTCAAACCTGCCCCCCCGCCTCACCTCCTGCGCTGACAAGAAGTGTATGTGCAGCAGCTTCCTCTCGCTGTCCACCAAGGGCAGGAAGGTGACAGTGACGTCATCGTCAGTGTTGAGGTTGGCGCCCGCGCCTCGATTGTCGTAGCCGTCGTTCTCCATGGCCACCAGTGCAGAGAAATGGCCTCTTGTGTAACCAAGAGCAATGGGGCTTTTCCAGCAAAAGCTCTGTTCCCACAATAAAGGCAGGTACACCCCTGTGGAGAGGGAATGGGCCCGTTAAACCCAGCGCCAATGTATGGCGCCATCTAGTGCACGGGATGATCATCAGCTGGCCTGCAAACACGTCTGACACAGAACCTCTCTGACACAGTTCAGAGAGCTAAAAATACCGTTGGCAAAAATGCAGAAATCACATTCAATACAAGCGCCTTGTGATCGAGTATAAATAGCGGTGTAAACTGGCCTATTAAGAGCAGGCTTTGCATCACGCCCAGTCTGACCAGCGGCTTTAACACCAGTTTCGTCTGTCAGCCTGCATTAAAAATATATGCATCTTTACAGTGTTCGCTCAGTGACACGCGCTTGGGGTCTGACCGTTACAGACATTCGCCGGCCACCCTTACAGGACCGTCACTCCTAGCCTCAAAGTCCCACACTGCTGGTTAAACTAAGTTAACTGGATCCCACAGTATCTTCTACATCTCCATCTGTTACCGGCAGATACAGGTTATCACAGCTGATGGGATCCCTTCACCTCCGACCGTCTCTGCTGCCTGTTACCGGATCATGTTTTCGCCCCGCACCCCTATTATGCTTCCACAAAACGCTGACCTTTAGCACCGACGGCTGAAATGATGTAACCCAGCGACATCACAAATGCCTGGCCACACTAATCGGTGCCGTCGCTCATGATGTTGCTCGTCAGGTTTCTGTTCCTTTTAAACGCCACGCCTCGTTCGTCAAAACGCGCGCTGTCCTTCCACCCGGGGCCCCAAAACCAGACCAGACACTGCAGAGGCAGCTGTAACCAGACACCCTTTCACTCCGATTCTCGCTCAGGCTCGTAATTAATGTCATACGGCAGCACGGCTGCTCAGCGCCGGAGCTCGAAACGACAGACGAATCACGCGCTTAACGAGAGAATGCTACCAAAAAAAAATGTCACACTCTTAAAACTGCGTACACTTTGATCTAACACGGTCATAAAAAGACAGCTCGTGCAGAAAAACAGCCAACTGCGATAAACTACAAAGAAAATCATAAATAACATGACGCTCTGCTCTTTCAGTCGCTTTGCAAATGTCTGGCAGACACTGCAGTCCGGGGACAGAAGACGGCCATTGGCCTTTTAAGACACAAACAATTTTTAAAACCTGTAATTTATCTCTTCTCTCGAAGGAATCTAAACTGCAGAGCTCAGAGGAGCCTCACTGTACGCCATCTTTAAAAGGATCAGGTTTCTCCGCTGTGATATTTTTAAACTATCATTCATAAAACAGAATGAACATCATGAAGTGTTACCATTTTCCCCCCAGTGGGGCGGGTCGTTCTAAAAAGGGGGCGGGGCTAACATTGCAGATTCGTGTGTAAAGCCCGCAACTCGAGACACCATCTTCGGTAGCCGTGTACGGTTTCCCCCACAACAAGACTCACCTTGAAAGCGCGTGTACCCTAATGTTTCGCCACGGAAACTCTTGTAATACTTCACTCCATAAACTATGATTGGTCTACGAAGAATGTGCGCAAGGACGAAGATGTGAGTCTGTTCCAGGCTGGCGCCAGGCTGCGGAAGAATGGGGGGGGGGGGGTGGACATGAGCACCATTCAGTCAGAAGGGGTCTGGAGGAATAGACCAGCTGAAAACAACCTAAACACAGAGCCAGCTAACAGTCGAGGGTAAATGCCACTCATTCTAGCAAATGACAAAATGCTTTTCTTACTCGCTGGTGGCAAAAGCATCATTTAGAGAGCCGGGCCAGATGCCGGCTTATCAGGATAAACAGGTCAGTTCAGCAGGAAGAGCAAACCGTCCAGCAGGGGGTGGCGTACCTGGCTCGCCAGCGAGAGGATGAAGGCCCAATCCTCCTGCCACTGTTCCTCCCTGAGGGAGAAGTGCAGGCCGAAGCTCTGTGAGTACCACGACTCCCACTCCTTCCACCGCGTGTAGAACCTGAAATCACGAGGCACACAGCTCGCTACTCTAGAACGAGATCGCCGCGGCTCCCTCAGAAAGCCCTAGGCCGTCTCCCTACCCCCCCATCCCGGCCGGCCGGCCTCCATCCCTGTGGCGCGCGGCCTACCAGTGCGAGCAGTCGTGCAGGCTGTCATGCAGTGTCTTGCGCAGGACCGAGTCCTTGTCGTAGATGCCCCACGTGGCCTGCAGCACCGAGTCCAGCAGGCAGTCTCCAGCCGTACGGTTCCACAGCGCGTACAGCCTGCTGTCCAGCCGCGTGCCCAGCTCCAGCGACCAGTTGATGATGGGAGCCTCCTCCTCTAGCTCTGTTTTGGGGGGTGCAGTCATTACCAAGGGCCACTCCGGGCAGGCTGGAACGACGCCCAGCAGCCTATCGCGGCTGCTGGATGGGTCACATGACACCTCACTTCCACTACAGCCTATCGCGGCTGCTGGACGGGTCACATGACACCTCACTTCCACTACAGCGGCCCAGCCTGAAAGGAACTGTTACCCGATACAGGAAGTCCCGATGTCATATTTTTAGCCTGATTTAAGTGAAATTCAACTGCAGACAAATGACTGTCACGAAAGAACCAAGAAGGTGCCAAGATGAATATTTATTTGCATTTTTGAACAACCCAAAGTATCTGCCTACCTTTCTGCACGTCCCGGTCCAGCACCTCGTCGAACAGCTTTTCCTGAACTGTTGGAGGCAAGTCCTCAATATCTGTGAACGATTCAAAGTGCGTTAAAACAAACGTCGTGTGGAAAGGACGCGTCAAACTGGCGCTGATGTTGACCAATCATCCAACCAAGGGGGCCAACGGCAGCTGCATGTGTATATGTGTGTATATCCAGCCATCTTCTATACCCGCTTGTCTTGTGCAGGGTCATGGGTGTCCACAGCCTATCCCAGAAATGACAGGCCCATGACAGGAATTGCCTTTATACAACTAAAAAATGGCAGCAATCCCCAGAACAATCAGCAGGGGGCACTATGTTAAGGGTTCCAGCACCTACACCCCAAGTGGCCAATAACACAACGAGATGAGGCTTCTCACCTGCAGGCAGAGTGAAGGTGACCAGGTCAGTGAAGAAGTAGCAGGCGAAGTCGCCCTTGCGCTGGTGCAGCGAGGCGGCGATCTCCCGGCGGATCTGCTCCGTCAGCTCCGGACACACCATGGCCGGGATGCACTTCGCCGCCTGCTGGGAGACCTGAGGGTTGGGGGGGAGGGGTGATGGGGTCACGCACAAGGAGAAGTGAACGCGATCACACTTCTGTCCCTCCGCCCAAGTGACAAGCCACCTCCCTTCCTTCTCCCATAAAAGCGGAAAAAAATACCAAAAACGAAAGCCGGGCACTGAGACTGCCCCTCCCTGCCCCGCATTACCGTACAAGCCAAGAAGCTCTCTCTTGGTGGGGCAGCCTGGGGGGGGGGGCAGACACTGCAGAGAGATCACTAGCCTGGGCTGAATCCTACTCAGGGTTGCACACGTGCAGGAAAAATAATTATATGTACATTTTTAAAAAATCGTTCAAATCAGCCTGCTTCAGCACATGGACACGCTTAACACACACGCCACCATCCATCACCAAGTCGCACGGTGAGAGCTGGCACCGTTCGTGTACAAAAGTGATACGCGATAAGCGACACTCTGCATTTGCAGCTGGGCTTGTCAGCGGATGGTGCCGCAGTCTGACTCCGAGCTGTAGGCTTTCAGTGAGTAGCCCAGACACGCCGGTGAAGGAGGCTGCCCTCCCAGCGCGACACACGGACACGGCCGCGCAGCCCATAGACTGCACAAATACACCAGGATCTGCACAGCGGGATAATAGTCACCCGACACATCCAGTAACCCATCAGGAAGTGAAGCAATCTGCCGTGAACTGGATGATTTACGTCGAACTAAATGAATAATATTTTTGTATAAACCACACCAGACAAAATTTCTGCAAATCACCAATGTCAGGATTAATGTGCTTTGTTGACAACAGCCATTCAGATTAGCGAATGTCATTTGGAAGAGTGCAATCTGCAGGAGATGAAGGGATAGCAGCGAAAGGCTTCTCTCATGAATTATATTCTACAGAGCAGAAACAACTACGGAAAACACAAACCCAAGTTAACCCAAACTGAAACCCTAACCCATGCTCGACAGGAAAAACAAACCAGGTCTATTCCAGTGACAATGGTTTAAACTGTTCAAGAAGAGCAGAACAACAGAATTCTACAAAACAGACATCTAGATTCCTACTCATGTCCAAGATGTACTTCCAAGTCAAAGATTAATTTATGCGGTTTCCCAGCAAATAGGATCAATCTTACCAAAAACAAATATACTTAAATCAGTAAATCTGCCATTGCATTTATTTTGCTTGACACAGGAGGGTGTCCGTGTCACCGAGTGGCCTTCCTTGCATTCAGTAATCACCATGCAGCCTGCCTGCTATCCTGTCACAGGCGGGGAGCCAATCAGAGGCACAGTTTGGATAATCCCACATCTAATCCCCAAAGCAGCAAGCAGGTGGGCCATTATGCTAGCCTCCAATCTGTGCTCCACTGGTAATTCAAGGCACAGGAGAGAACCCACCATAACACCAAAGAACTACTCTCAGTATTGATGGCCTGATCATGCTCTAGGTGTGAACGACTAATTCATAACCGTCTTCATTAATCTCCCCTTAAAAGGCCATTAGCGTTATCCATTAGTCACTTATTATATAACAATATAGGTATTATCCAGCTCTTGGACCTTACCTCCGTAAGAAGAATGGCAAGCATGTCCTGTCTCTGGAAGCGGATGGCTAGGTGGACCAGGGTGAAGCCGTCGTCGAAGGCCGACGGCCGGTTGAGCAAGCGCACCTCGTCGGCGGTGAGCTGCCGTGCGATGTCACCCCCCGAGGACTTGTATGCCTCCACCGCAGACAGGTCTCCCTCGACCACACCTGCGACGGCAGTGGGGCGCGGGGGAATGGATCAGCTCGCTGAGTCTGGACAGCTCAAGGGCAGTTTAAACAAGAAGACCTATGCTGGACTGACAGTCTGTAAGCACATTATTCTATCGGTCGTTGAAACACAATCAGAAATGATAAAAGGCTTCTGCATCTCAGACTCCAAACATGCCATGACCCGCGCATGGCGCCAACGCGAGCTGCTCTCTGGATCTGAAGCCCATATCCGCTCTTCTACATGCACCACATCTCTCCATTGGAGCTCGTGGGCTGCTATACCGAATTAGAAATCCACTTCATCTGGGGACCTTCAGGTGAACATCAAGCATTTCTGGAAGACCAAGCTAAAAATCCATCCGAATAACTGTCATTATGACGTTTGAAATTTATCTTAACAATTCTGAACTCACACCATCACAACAGGCCTATAAAACCCAGATTTTACTGACAGCCAGCATCCACCCATCCATCCAGATGGGGACTATGGGAGTCAGCAGTCACGGCATTCTTCAAAATACCCACATAACTGCGATGGTACCCACGGCTCCCCGGAGTTGGAATAAAAGAAAAAGTGAGCCCTGTAGACTCTGAAGGCCCTGAAAACACCTCCTCATGTCCAACGCACACACACATTTCAGAAGAACCCAGCTGAAGAGACAGCACCGCATATTCCTTCACTGCCTGGAGCTACAGCCCACACTACACCACAACCCCCCCATCCACACAACCCCCATCCATCCACATTTACTGGCTCCAGGTCCGTTTGGTAGGAGAGAGGGAGCGAGTCCTTCCCCGTCTGTTCAAGGTCAAAAGCAGGGGTGGCCAATCTTATCCGCAAAGGGCCGCTGTGTGTGCGGGTTTTCGCTGCAACTCGCTAATTAGATTACTAATTAGAGGACTGATTGGCTAAAGAGTCCTCACACCTGGGTTTGAACAGCTGACCTACAGGTTATCCCAAAAACCCACATACACACCGGCCCTTTGCGGATAAGATTGGCCACCCCTGGTCAAAAGCATCTTGAATGCAAGGACTCCCTATGACAAGTGGCAGAAACCAGCCCAAGCACACAAGAATAAGTTTGCCTCCATAGCGCCCCCTATGCCTTCCATGGCTCCCGACACCAAACCAGACACTCCTCTCAGTCATACGCACACAAGGGGAACGAGGAAGCCACTGGCCAAAGCCACGTGGCAGATACACCATCACTATGCGATGGTTCTGTCCTCAGCAAACTCATACACCCCTTTTAGTCTTGGCTTCCTGGATCATTAAGGTAACAGCAGACAAGTACCGTCTGTCCAAATAAGGAGTCCCGC